TTTAGGGGGACACAAACATTCAGTCCATGGCATATCCTTAATCTACTCTCTCAGGATTCAGTGTCTGGAGGGATAGTGACATGGATCATGTCCCAGCCCCCTAGCTACACCAAGAGCAGGAAAGAAAGGATCTGCCCCTTTGGTATTATCTCCCTCTGAGACTACTTCCCGTGGGAAACATGATTCCTGAAAAGAAAATGGGGTGCTGTCGGAGAGGGGGATGGGATGCTCTGCGGCCAAAATCGATAAACGTCCAGCCCAGTGGTCACTGCATGGTGTTATGAAGAGAAAGACCTCAAATATTGAACCAGACCACGTGCAGGCTAGTGCTTCTCATTCTTGGTCTCATTAATCCTCACAACAGTCTTTCAAGGAGGGTGGTATTATCCCCATCATCCAGACAAGGCGATGGAACTTCAGACACATTAAGTATCTTGCCCGGGTCTTCATGGAAAGTGATGGAGCTCGTTTTTAAGTTCCAGTCTGTGGGATTCCAGAGTCCTCACTTGTTCCATATTCCCAGGCTTCCAAGACTGGGCCTCAAGGGAATGGAACCACATTCTGCTTTGATGAAATCAAATAAACTAAAAAGAGTTTATTAAGGGAAAGAGACAAATGCTGAAGGAAGGGGGTCACCTGATCTGCTCCCCGGGGGGAAGGTACCTGAGACACATCTGACCAGCCTGGCCCAGAAAGAAGGTTGTCGCCACAGGCAGAAAGGACAGCACAGACACGCAAAGAAAGTTTCCAGAAATTGAAGGTTCCCAAGGGCTCAGATCATGTGCCCTGAAAGTGGTCCACTTCTGCCACCTAGCCACAGGTGCCCTCTTCAGCCAGAGCTCAAGAAGCCTAACTTTGGGGAAGCCCCATGGATGGGTATAAAATGGGCATAAGCAAGATGTGGAGGTTTTCCTGGTAGATCTTCGAGACGACCCATGTCACTGGGTCCCCTTATCTGTCACACACTCTCCTATGTTTTTCTGGAATTCCCAAGAACAGGATGGGCGGCTCCTCCCTGGAATAGAGGTTGGGCCATTCCCCATCCCCATCTCTACTCTCTACTAAGGAATTTTTCAAAATTCCAACTTCACACACTTCAACATTTCCTAAATATTATTCTTAATTTTCTGATTGCATCTTTCCTAGTCTGTTTGGAAAACAAATCTATTCCCACCTGAAGGTTGATAGCTAATATAAAGCATTTTCCTGTCCTCAGGCTAACGACTTTAACACATTATGACACTAACCAGCTAGTATTGACATTAGCTTTTTGTTGGCCAGGAGCCATAACATCTCTACGAAGAAGAACTAGCATAGACTAGAATAAAGCCAGCATGAGAAAAATTACCTAAAGATAAGGAGATAAATCAGGGACCCCATGATTCTAAGCACATAATAAGTAGTCAAATATATGCCGAGTAGATGAATAAACATACCTGTGTATGGCTTTAAAAAGGATGAACAAGGACGACAGCTCTCACAAAAGAGTATTCTCAGGCTTTTCTATTTCAAAGACCAATAAATTGTTTTGTTTTGTTTTTTAAATTTGGAAGAAGACAATCAACATAGGATTACTACCTCTTTATTTTGCCAAGTAAGGACATTTTAATAAAACTATCATCTCTATTACAATTCATAAGATAATAGACCCTTTGACACCAGCAAAGAAGGAAGGGTATGGTCACAGAATAAAGGACAGTCTTTCTAGAGAAAGAATCATGGCACATTGAATAGGGGTCTTAGTTGTACATTATAAAGTCCCCACCTAGCTAGTTTAAGCACAAAACAATACATTACAGGATCTAGATAGTTCATAGAATCACCAGAAGGGCTGAAGGCAGACTCTCAACAGAACTTCCAGTATTGACTCCCTAAACCACACCTCAGAACCAGGCCACTGAGGAAGCTGCCAAGTCAGGAAGGTGTTGCCACAGCTATTGGACCATTTCACCTCCTTAAAACACACACCAACCTCATGCCCTGTTCAACTCCCCACATTATTCAATGCCAAGTCAAAGTCCTACATGAGTTCAGCCGATTGGCAGAACCTAACATATCCAGATCCCCATCTGAAAGGAGTCTGGGAAATGTGGGTTCAGTGTTCAGCCTCTGCAGTGCAGGAAGGCACGTGGGACTGGAGAAGGCACTAAGTCAATCAGTTCACTACTGTTGGGGAGCTTTTGCTGCACACTCATGAAACACGTCAGGGTCTGATTCTGGATTGTGCGGGGATCAGAGGGGTGTCCTGAGGGACGTGTGCACTCATGCTTTATTGAGAAGATTCTGAAGGTCGATGGAATAACACCCACACCTGCTGAGGGCATGACCCTTCTTGTGAAGAGAATTTAACACCTGGGGCCATAGCATTAACCACACCCTGGCTGTAGTGGACATCTGTCACATTTGTGACTGTCCATCAACTTTAGGGTAGCTTTTTTCATATTTGGGGATATTTGCATGTAATGAGTCCTGCCTCCTCAGTATTAAAGTCAGAATTCAAATTCCCAGACTCCTTTGCAGCTAGGATTCAGCATGTGACCGGGCTCTGACAATCTGATACCCCCGCCTGAGATTTGATTAGAAATGGGTATCAAGAAGAAGCAGGCAACGCATGGAGCTTCCATTTTTGCTGACAAGGATGGCAGCAGAGGCCTCAGCTTCCAGAGGTCGTGGTGAGGTCTGGTTCCCAACTCGGAAGTGGCAGTGGTGGTGGCAGAGTGGCTGCAGTAGAGTTGAGTTCCTGATAGCTAGCGCTCAGCAGCATCAGCCACGGGAACACCAGTTTCTCTCCTTGGGCTGGTTCCACAGCAGTTTAGGGCATCATTCCTGGAAACTTGACCTCAGTTCTCTCAGCTCTCCAAATGATTGTTTATCCTTCGAGAGAAAATCCCCTATCTGTAATCCCCAGCCACAGTGGATTCTGTTGTTAGCAACTTGAGAACCCACCTGATGTGCTGGGTGAGATAGGACCACCAGGCTCTGAATCTATGGCCTCTCCACCAGGCTGCAGTGTGAGCCATTCCTGCAGCAGAAAGTGTCTGCCTGGACCTCGTCCCCCATTTCCTTCTTGAGTCAGGTATGGAGATGGATGGAAGGAAAGCACCCGTCTATCTGACTTCCACTGTCCCAGGAGCTCCTCCAGACCAAGAATGCTCTTCTTCATTGGATTTTTATCACCAACACTTTGTGCAGGGCAAGTATTCAGCAAATGTTTGATGAATGAATGACTGAATTGTCAAGTGCACTACAAAGTTATGCCCAGCTGGATCCATAATCCAGACCCGCGCTGTCCATTACCGTACTTTCTAGCCACACATAGCTACTGAGCACTTGAAATGTGGCTAGTGCAACTGAGTGCAAATTATTTTATTTCAACTCCTTTAAATTTTAAAACTGATAACTAATTTCATTTTTGGAAAACTTTTAGCTTGTTTAACTCGTGTATGTAAATGTATATTTTCAGCTGTAAATTTTAGGAAAGCTGAGTACAGATCAAATATTTCCAACGAAAATTTAGCAAATGTTTTGATATAAATCGAGACGTGTTATAATTATAAAATACACACCAGATTCCAAATACTTTACAAAAAAAGAATGTGAAATATGCCATTAATAACTTTTATAATTGATTACATATGGAAATGATAACATTCTGGATATATTATGTTAAACAAAATATATTATTAAAATTGACTTCACCTGTTTCTTTTTACATTTTTGGATGTGACTACTAGAAAATGTAGAATTAAATATGTGGCTTTCATTGTTTTTCTGCTGGACAGTGCGGATCTGGACATTGGCGTGACGGCCGCTCGGCAGGCAGAGAGGGTGCTGAGGACAGATTACCCCGAGGACTGGAGCCTCTAACACTACAGACCTAGCCCCGACCTTTCCTGCTCATTCCCCACCCAGCTCTAAACCCGACAGGAGGAAGTTCAGGTGTGGGCCTCTACAACATGCATAAAAGCAGAAGTCACAAATTTGGTGTTTTTAGGGACTGGACAGGTAACCTACCAGGGAAAGGGCTGGAGCTAAGGCCACAAGCAGTGACAAATTTAAATCTAAATCTATTTAAAGTCAATACACAAAGAAAAAATCCCCAAGTGGATGCCCCCCGGGTCACCAGTGTGCCATCTCTGCACAGGCCCATAGAATCAAAAGGCGGCCCTTGGAGAGCCTCGAACACGGCCGTTCCATTCCAAGAGTGAAGAGACTGGAGCCAGAGGGATGAGAAGAGACTAAGCAGTGCTAGAGCCACGGCTGAGCGCTAGGTCTCCTAACGCCCCCGGAACACGTCATCTCCAGCTTTAGGTGCCGGCAAGTACGAGCCAATTGGGTTTGATTTGCGAAAGGAAGGATCCACCCTACAGGGATCAGGCAGCCTGCCACCTACCCCAAGATATCCAAGCTTCTCTTTCCCGGGACTGTCAGCCTATTCAGAAGAATTAGGGTGGAGGCCAGAGAGTATTCCATTTGGTAACAGAGACCCCCGTAGCTTCTATTCACAACTCCAGAAGACTTGAAACACTTAACATGATTTGTTCCAGGGTAGGGAGGAAGATAAAATAAAGATGCCTTTGGCTGGCATGGAGAGCAAGGGAGAAAAAGGGAAAACTGTGCTAGGCCTCCAGAGGAGAAAGAGGCTCTGAGCAGTCCAGTCCTGAGCCAAGTGAAAGGGGAGAAGGCTGACGCACCAACCTGGAGAGGCTGGCAGCCCCTGGTGGGGTGGGAGGACTAATGAGAAGGGTGAGAGAGGATGGACAGGGCTACGGGAAGAGGGAGGAGATGGAAGGACCACCCCCCTACCCTGAAGCCTTGCTTCTAACAGAAAGAGGAGTGAATCTCGCCGATTGACCATGTTGGACTCAAACAATCTCATGCTGGAAGCACAATCTACAAAATGCTTCCCTCGAACCTGACCCCGTAGGTGCAATTTTACCAGATAAAACCACTTGTACCCACACCTAAATTTATCAATCTGAGCAAAATACAGTTAGTAACAAAGAAAGGCAATTTTCATATTTTATTATACAATGTTGTTCATCATAGAAAATATTTAATATTTTTAATTAAATACAGAAGCAAATTGTTGGGGTTGCCAGAGAGATTGTTTGCCTGCCCCCTGAAAAAATTAACACCTGTTTGCAAACAAAAGGATCGCTAGAATTGAGTCAAATCCTTTGTTCTCTTTTCAGGACCCAGCCTGTTGATCTCTTGTCTATACAACGTCTGACAGACAGCGGGTGCTGAACAAATATTTATTGATTAAATGGGGTGTTCTTTAATCCCTAGCCTTTATTTCCTGACCCTAAACTGGACCTTGATCCAGAGGGAAAAATCCCCACCCACCCATTCCTAGAGTAGCCCAGGCTCTTTCAATAGCCTTTGATACATAACATTGGCTTAGAGACATTTGCCTGATGGTTTCAGAGAGAGAAAGAAACACACAAAGGCAGACACAGTAACTAGATAGAGACAAAAAGATGCTAGGACATAGAATAACAGAGACACATCCCCAGGGATGTTGCAACTGCAGGAGATAGGGACAGCAAAACGAAGTCAGAGAGACTTAAACCTCACACAGTCTGAGACAAAGAGTTTAACAAGTTGGGCAAGAATGATAATCTTGAAGTTTCTTTTCAGCTTTGATGTTTTATGACCGAGATAATGGCAGAGAGAGAGGAAGACAAGGCAAGGACACGAGGATAAACAAAAGCAGGCAGAGGGAACAGGTGGACAGCCAGATTTGACTGCCTATCTTTAGATCTGGCTTTGAACCCTTGTCCTACCCACACCGCACACCCACCCAGCAGGGCTCCTTCATGCCTCAGCACTCCATGCCACTCGTGACTCCTCCTGCAAGTCCAGTCACCATGACCCCTACCCCCACCTGAAGACCTCCAAACCACTCTTTGCATGTCCAAATCCTCTCTCCAACATCCTCCACGAAGCTTTCTCACTGCTCCAGCCCATGCTCATCTCCCTCCCATCTCAACTCCTAAAGCACAGACAGTTGATACCACACCCCTAACCACAGGTAGGTGCTGTTTCCAGGTTTGCCCTCAGCCCACATGAGAGCATCTTGACTCCAAGAGAACTGTGGGCTTGTCAAGGCTCCAAACCCTAAGCCATATATTCCAGGATTCCCCATGATACCCAAAGCCGGGTATCACTAAGTGCTCAGTGAATACTTGTGAACTGACCAGTCCCCAAGGAGTGCCAACAGGGCAACCTAACAGTGCCTTGGTCTATTAAGTAGCTTCTCGAAGGCGGGCCACGTTGGGGCCATCTCCTGGGCTCCTGCGCCCCCTGCCGGACAGGAGGGGATCTGCACGTAGGACAAAGCAGGTCGCAAGGGTAGTCCAGACCCGGGGAGGCTGGCAACGGCATTCCCGCCTCAGGTGGCCCTAGGCACCATCTGAGGGTTCTGATGAGGTCGGTGGGCACAGCCAAGAACAGCTGCGGTGTTCTTCCTGGGTGCCGGGACACACCCCACAGCCTCCCCATGCCCAGAGTGCTGCAAAGGGCGTCCCACCCTGTCCCGCCCCAGCAGAGCGCTCAGAGCTTCTCGTCCAGCTCCAGGGCCTGGTTCTGCCAGGCGCCCCCGTGGACCCGGGCTGGGCTGCCGCTCTGCGTCCCATTCAGGTAGTTCTGGATGGCGGAGGCGCAGTCCAGACGCTCCATCTCGGTCATGAGGTAGTGCAGCTCCTGCAGGCTGCCGTTCTGCTCCTCAAACAGCTCCAGGATGGCTGCGGCGGGGCTGCGCTGGCAGGACAGGAACCTGGCCGGGGGGAGGGGCGAGGAGAGTGGAGGAAGGGGCACTGCAGCGAGATCCACCCCTCTCTCAGCTCTGGGCCTCATCCCCCTCCTGCCTGCCTTCCCTGGCACTCAGGATGGTGGGAGAGCCCCGGGCTTTGAAACTTGAGATTGCACTGGCTCAAAGGCCACACCTCTCCAGGCCTCAGTTTCCTCCTCTGACCGCAGGGCTGGGATGAGAGGATCTCTAAGGTTGCTTCCAGCTCTGATGTTCTGAAATTGCCTTCTCTACCTCCCCCACTCCAATCCCACTCTGGCCTCCTCCTCCCTCTCCCAGGCCACAACATCCTGCCCACCACTAAGGAAACAGCTGTTCTAAAGCATGACCTTCCCCTGCTCAAAAACCTTCCATAGTCTCTTTCACCTACTAACCAAGCCCACACTCCTGACTCTCCAGCTCATCCATCACTTGTCCTTGCCCTGTTTTTCCTGACCTTTTCTCCCTGCTCTCATCCCAAACCTTCCTTCCTCAGACCTGTCCCTTTTCCCATCTTGCCCATACCACACCCACAACTGCTTCTGCTCCTCCGCCCAAACAGAAAAACTGATGCTACTTCCCTACTACCTTCTCCCTGAAGCCCTATCTAATTCCCACCTCCCAGGTGGAAGGGACCATTCTGCACCCCTCAGCTCAGACTTCTGGTCATAGCTCCCCCAAGTCTTTATTATTCTTGCTTCAGCTATTTTGTGTCTCTGTTTGTTTCCAACTTGCTATGCAATATTGGAGACATACAATAAGGCACAAGGAAGCTTGCCTTTATTTTGTTAAGCTCTTTGTATCCCTGAATACAGTGTGAGCTCCTGGGTGCTGGGACCATGTCTCATTCATCTTGTAGCCCAATGCTTAGCATAGTTTTCCAGGACATACTAGGTACTTGATAAATGTTTGAGTGATTTAAAAATCCACCCTGTTTTCAGCTGGGTCCAGCCCCAGTCCCATCTCCTGAGTGAAGGCTTCCCTGACCACTGCACTCATAGTCAGGTTCTGAGGCTTAGCTCAGAATTGTTCTCCTCCTGGTTTCTCTTGACAGAGCCCACAGCTGCATGGCCCCCATTACTGCTAACATTTATTGAATTAACATGTGCCAGGCATTCAGCCACATGCTTTACACACGTTATCTTATAGTCTGCCATTCTACCCCTCAGGGCACAGCATGTCAAGCACTCAACATGTACCCAATGAATCACATGTTAATTGATTCATTTTTAAATATTTACTGAGCACCTACTATGAGGCAGGCATTAGTCTAGGTACTGAGAATACAGTGATAAATAGAAAGAGCTGCCCTTTTATGGGAAATAGGGTGGGGAGTAGCCCTTCTCTGACTTTTAAGGTGCTCCCTTGTCTGTGGTCCCGTCTCCAAGCTGTCCTGAGAACCCGCCACCCCAGGGCACCCTCCTCCCCCATCCACAGACCTGGCCCCTCTTACCGGATCTTCATGCCGCAGAGCCCCAGGTGGGAGGCCAGTCGCCGCCAGTCATTGCCCGTGACGCTGTTTGGCTCCAACAACATCTGCAGCTGCTCAAAGAGCTCTGGGGGCAGCCTGAGGCAGGGGGAAAATTGGGTTCTCCGAGGGGCGAATCAAAGAGACCCAGTCTGGTTCCACACACACCCCAAATGCTGTACTTGCTCTGTAGGCACTGGGGCAGGAATCCCAAACATCCCCCGGGCAACAGCTCAAGCAACCTCCATCTCACCTATTGCATGGGGGTGGCTGGGAGACAGGGGGTGGCGCTGCCCAGGACTCCTCCTCTGACGCCTGGAATCTGAGGATCTCCATGTACTTTGTCTCCAAGCCCTGAGCCAACAGAGGGGCAGGAATGCACTTAGGGATCATAAGACATCCCTCGAGCAAGGAGCTGGGGAACCTACCTCCACTCCTCATGTGTCTCCTTCAGTCTGTCACCCAGAGCCCCTTGGCCAGCAGACACCCCCACCCTGCCCAGGAGCCCTCCCTTTTCCTTCCCTGACCCCAGAATCTTCAGCCTTAAGTTTGCCTAGTGAGCTCTTTGGGACCTGGGACATGAAGGCCAAACAGAGTGCATCCTAAGACACCAGGAGAAGTCCTGGGTGGGGTCATGGGGCAGGGGGAGGTCATCTAAAAGCAAAGACCCTGAACTCAGCATACATGTCCCTTCCCCTCATTCCTCCTTTCCTGGATTCCTCCTCCCCAAGTGACACCCTGAGGGGTATCTGCCTCCTCTCCACTAAAATGCCACCATGGTTCACCAGAGAGACTCAACCCTGATTTTTCATATCTTCCCTTGGGAGAGTAGGCTATCTAACTCCCATCCCACATACTCAAGACCCCCTTTCTGGGCACTCTCCACACTGAAGATACACAACATCATCGCTCAGATGTAGACAATCAGCCTAGAAAGAAACCACTTGTCTTTGATGCCCAAGTCCCTCTGGGCTGGGAGAGGGGGTTAAAAGGGTTTGGTTCTTTTACCCTCCTTCTGGATTCATCCATGGACAGACAAAAGAGAGTCAGGGATGGAGGGTAACTTGGAGGCCAGGCGGTCTAAGCCCCTGGAAGAAAGCCATCTTAATCTGCTTGACTGTGTGATTAGGGTCATACTTACTGGACACCAGACCCCTCACCCACTTTGCCCAAGACTCCCCTTAGGCCCTGCCCTTCCTCTGCCCCTCAGCTCCAACTCACATCCTGGAAGGTGTGCATGGTGACGATGATCTCATTGGTTAGTGCTGAGCAATCCTCGTTCTCATTGGCTACAAAGAAGAGAGGACGTGGCAGGTGAGAGGAAAAGGCCTGGCATAAGGCAGCAGGAGAAGTGAAAGGGACTCTACAGAAAGGCTTTAGAAAGCTGCAGAAGCTGGAGAGAACATCCATCCTTCTCTCTGCAAAGATCTGTTGTGGCTCCTCGCCTTCAAGAGCAGGTCTGCATGCATGGCAGAATGAGGAGCTGCAGAGCTCCAGGGTGACCAGGAGGGGAGAGGAGAGGGCAGGAGGTGGACTCGGGGTTCCTGGACTACCTGTTTTTCTCCGGAAGCAGAAGGAGCGGAAGGGGCACTTTCCATGCCAGATGTGGAGATGCGGAACCAGCTGGCAACTGCTGTCATCCACATTCTCCCAACCTGGGGAGGGGGCAGAGAGCGAAGGGCTTCAGAGAGTGGGGCCTTCCACAAGTGTTTAGGAAGGCCTACTCTGTGGCAGGCACCCCATAGGGCGTTGTGGGGAGGGATCAGGAGGGAGCAAAGGCAAGAGCATGTCCCAAGTAGATGAGGGTCCCCAGAGCCTGGAGAGGGGACCCCAGTGAGTGGTCTTCCTTCTACTACCACATGCTCCCTACATACACACACACACACACACACACACACACGCACACACACAGACCCCCCCCCCCCCCCCGCCCCCCATCCACTACCCCCAGAAGCAGCCATGCACATGCACCCTGTCCAAAACCAGCAGATGCCCTAGGCCCCACCGGTAATTCCAGCCGCCCATGCCACAAAAGAAAGAGGGCAGAGAAGACTGGGACTCCTACCACACCAGCTCCAACCAAGAGGGACAAAAAAACCCGGCCCCTCCCTTCCTGCTTCTGGGGGTGCACACCTCTCCTCCCCCCTCCCACCCCACATCACCCTGTCCTCCTGTGGAGGGACCAGGACTGAGTGGTCCACCGAGGGAGGAAGTGGGCAGAGCCTGGGGGATCCCAGAGGCAGCAGCAGAAGCCAGAAGATTCCCAGTTTTCCACCCCGGGGCGGCCCACCCTGGGGGAGGCCCGGACCCGCCCCCCTCTAGCGGGGCTCCCCACGGCCCCGCCTCCCTCACCCTCGGAGATGTACTTGAGCTTCAGGCACTGGTCCCCGCGGGCCCCGGTGAAGTCGAAGAGCTGGCAGGGCCCGCACAGGCGCCCGCCGTGGGGCTGCTCGTTGGTCAGGGCCCACTGCAGGGCGCAGGGCGTGTTGTTGAGAAAGTAGACGCGCAGCTGCAGGTGGGACTGGCCCGGCGCCAGCGGCGAGCAGAACACCGCCAGCTGCAGCCACTTGCGGGCGTCGCGGCCCATAGGCGCCTCCACCACGCAGGTGAAGAGGCTGTGGAGGGAGACGGTGGCAGGGCAGGCATGGGCGAGGCTGAGACACCAGCGCACCTGCCGCCCGGCTCCCGCCGCCCCAGGGGCCTCGGTGGGGGCCTCCAAGGAGCCGAGAAAAGCAGTCCAGGGCGTGTATAGGGAAGAACTGGGGGGAGGGGCCGGTAGAGGGACAAAAAGTGAGTCACGTCGCAGTGACCGTCACCCAGTGGGGAGAAGAGCCAGCAAGTATCCTCAGGCATAGGAGAGAGGGAAGGTGAGCTCAGGGCCACCATACTTGGGAGGGGTCCCACACGTGGCTGGCCCTGCTCTGGTCAATGGGTGGCAAGGAGACTGAGAGGCAGAAGGGCCTAAGATCCTAGAAGGACAGAGCTAAGGGCAGACATGAGATGGGATGGAGTCTTAGAGAGCTGGAGGGGACAAACTGCCCTAGACAGTTTGGGGACAGTCCTGAACTGGGAAGTGGGGTAGAGACAGGTAATTTTAGAGAGACAAAGGTGGGGATCGAACAGGCCCCCTCTAGAGAGAGGGCTGGGGCTGAGTCAGCTGCTTCTAGACAGACAGATCGCGGTGAGATGTGCCATCCTGGACAGGCTTGGAGTGAGAAGCTGCCATGGACACTAGGATGCAAGGCCAGGAAAGGACACGGGGATGAGGGATTTGCAGGACCTGGGACTGATGAAGAAGGGGCCGTTCCATACAGAGAGATGAGGATGAGGCAGACAGAAAAGGGGCAGGAAGGACAGGCTGATGGCTCGTGCCTACCTGAAGTGGGAGAGGTGGATGCGACACTCGTCCCGGGAGGTGTGTACCCCCGGCCGCCCCAGGGGCCTCCAGTCCTTGGCATCCAGCAGGGTCGTGTTGCTGCTGTAGGTGCGGGCATGGCTGGGCTGCTGGGCACAGTGCTTGAAGGTGAGGGTGCAGGGCTTCAGAAAGGAGGCCCCATGGGGGCCACATGCCACCACGGGGCTCACCAGCCCCTGGGCTCGGGACAATGACGGGGCGTCCGACAGGTCCCACACCAGGATCAGCGACACCCGCTCCTGGCGGCCCACAGCCACAGCACCTGGGGAGAAGGAGTGCTGAGATGGCCCTGGCAGGCACACCCCTGCCCCAAGAAAGGCCAGACCAGGATGGGAGGGGAGGTGGGGCGGGAGCCCGGGAGAGAGGGGGCCTAGCAGGGCACATGGGAAGGCAGAATGGAAGGAGAGCAAGATGACCACGAGCTGACTTGTGTGTCACCCCACTTCCTTCCAAGCCTGCTGCTGGCCTGACCAGGGCCTGTGTGGATTTGAAAAAGGTGCTCTTCCTCCAGACACTTTCCTTTCCTTTACTGTCATAACATACTGTTCATTAGAACAAGGCACTTGACTTCCACCTGTCAGGAAGTTGTCATAAAAATATGAAATATATATCCATCTTTGGAGTCAATAAAGTCAAACTAAAAATATAAACAATTTTCAAAAGTATAAAGATGTCTATGAATGATGCTCCTGAAATGTGGTGCCCTTGTACAGTGCACAACCTGAACAACTATATGCGGAGAAGGGAGCTGGGGGCTGTTACCTGGGGGGATGAGCAGGGAGATGCCCGTATCCTGGAGTATCAGGCAGCCTCCGCGGTGATCCACCTCTCGAGCCGAAAACACCAACAGCTTGTGCATCAGCTGACGGGTGACAGTCTGGCCTTGGGTGGGCGTGTGCAGTTCCTGGTAGAAGGCAGCCATCTCCTGGAGTGTGGCTGGTGGCCCCTGCCTTGGGGCCTCATATTCTGGTAGGGGAGTGGGATGGGGCACTGGTTCCTCTTCGCTATCCGGCTTCCAACAGGCCCGTAGCAGCCAGGGAGGACAGTGCCATCGAAGGCACTGGACCAGGAGAAGGACACTCACCACTGGGACTCCCACCAGCAGTAGGAACTGGGCAGGTTGGAAGGAACTCTCATGGGAGCACATCCGCCTGGTCACTGGATGCTGCCAGCTCCTCTGTGCCCCTGTGCCAGCCAAGGCCAAGGACCTGGGGGAAAAGAGGGGTCAGTGCCAGGCAAAGCCTTTCAATGTCGTGAAGGCCAAGACTTGGCTTCCAAGTGGCTGCAATGAGGGAGGAAATTGTCTTCATTCCAGCGCACCCTGCACACCCCAGTCGGATCAATTCCTCCAACAACTTCACCTCTCTCTCTCTCTCTTACTCAAGAACCTACCATGGCTCCCTATGACCTAGTACATCATATTAAACTCCTCTGAGTTAGAAAGAGCATGGGTTTGGAGTGAGAGAATGAGTTCAAATGCCACCTTGGTCACTGTGGCTGAGTGAGCTTGTCATATTGCTTAATGTGCCTCAGTTTCCTCATCTGTCAAAATATCTACATGTGCTGATATAGAAAATTCTTTAAGTGGAAAAGCAAGTCACAGAGCTAGACATCCTCTGATCTCATTAATGTAAATAACAAAACTATATACAAGTATAGATATATCTTTATGAGTGTATATATGTAAATTATAGAGAAAGTCTGGAGCAGTGCTATGCGATAGAAATATACTGTCAACCACATATGTAATTTTAAATTCTCTAGTGGCCACATTAAAAAAGTAAAAAGAAACAGGAAAAATTAATTTTAATAATATAATTTATTTAACCTAATATTTTCAAAATAATATCATTTTGACAGATAATCAATATCATATTATTAATGAGATATTTTACATTTTTTTTCCACACTAAGTCTTTGAAATCAATGTGTACTTCACACTTACAGCACATCGCAATTGGGACTTGCTCTATTTCAAGTGCTCAGTAACCACAAGTGCTAGTGATTCCTGTCTTGAACAGTGCAGGTCTGGAAGGATACACCTCAAATTATTCCCATTGGTCATTTATTGAAAGAAATGAGAAATTAGAAATTGAGAGGGTAGAAGGCGTGAACAAGGACTTTCCATTTTCTTAAACGCTTTTTGGTGTATTCTTCGGATTTTTCTCACCGAGTATGTATTTTATATTAATTTTGCAATTCTTTTTAAAGCTATTAAAACCAAAAAAAAAAAAAAAAAAGAATTACCTGTCAGAGTGATTGTGAGGACGGCATGAGATCATGGGAAAAGCATTTGTGGATGATAAAACACTGTCCAAATATGTTTATTTATGCCCCTCCTTTTGCCAAAAAGGTCAGAAGGTAGCTCACAGGGATAAGTGAAATACAAGAGGAACAAAAGTTAAAAGTGGAAGCAAATGAGAAAGAAAAACAAAGGCGGGGGCCTCCAGTGAGGCTGGATGAGGCAGAGCGCAAGCATACACTGACTGCCTGCTCACCTGGTTATCGGCGGGGCCTCGGGTCAGGACCTGGGCCTTCCAGCAGCCTCCCTGTGCAGATGTCAGCTCTTCCCGAGGCCCTCCAGAATCCACTGCCTCCGCTCCTCCTTTCCCTCTTCCTCCCTTAATCTCCAACACCCTACACTCTCCTCACACCTCACTAATTCTAGCCTCTGGCTTTGGCTCCTGCCCTTCTCTGTTTGACTCTTCACCTGCTCTCCCCACCTGCCTCACCTACCCACTTGGACCCCCCTCCTGCTCCATAGCGCCTACCCCTGGCTCACCACCCCCTGACAGTCTCCCCCTCTGAAATCTTTCTGCTGCCATCCCACCAGACAGAGTAACTCTTAACCATATGCTATCATGTGTGGTTTTCCCACTCAAATGAACATTTTCTGAGCACCCTGCGTACCAGGTACCGTGGGAAGTTCAGCCTGCCAAAGATGACAGCTTATTCGGCTCTCAAGGAGCTTCTGAGGGAAGGGGATTCATTCACTCCATTGCTGAGTTCTGTGAGGCACAACAGCCTCCTTCCAAGTTCTCCAGGTCCCCGTGGTTGATTCACTAGGGTCTGCACTAGAAAAGTTTCCAGCACCCCTTCCTCCCATTCCCTTCCCTCAACCACCCACCTGGAGCTGAGGCCTTGACCCAAGACTCCAGCTCTTTTCTGCCCACCTTCTTCCTTCCTTCCTTGGGACCCCCATGAAACCTAAGCCCCCTTCCTAGCTCCTCCCAGACAGGGGCAGAAACTCCTCTGTATCCTCAGGATTGAGGACTGGGGCGGGACCTGTTTCCTCATGTCTTCATTGAAAATGTAGACAGGAGAAGAAGGTTTGGCATGGTTCCCCTTGCCTTAAAATGCAACCCCCCAGACTGTGCAGCATCCTGCTTCAGCCAGGCCGCTTGCGGGGCACAGGAGTGAAGGAGTGAGCTGGCAATGCCCCAAATCTGGTGGAATGGGAGTTGGAGCAGCAAGATTCCCTTTACGTCCCATCCATTCCTTTTGGTTCTTCCACATTAAAGATAATTGGAATTTTAACTGTAATAATAATAGCTAACATTTATGGAACTTTACTCTGTGCCACTGAGTCAAAGCACTCTATGTGGCCTGTCTCATTTGACCCTCTCAGCAGCCTTATCAGCTGGTTGTTATTTTTATCTCCATTTCACAGATAAGGAAGGCAAGTTTTCTCCCCACAGCGAGGATGGATGGGAGATTATTAAACTACAGCTGAAAGCAGGAGGGAAGGATAAGCAGGGATGATGAGGACTTCCAGAAACACTCCTTTTCTCTCCCTGCCCCTTCTTTTTCCCCCAAGTCTCTTCCTTTCCACCTCAGAGAAAGAAACAAAGATAAAGTAAAAGTAAATAGAAGGAACTAAAGGCATGTCCTTGGTTCCACAATGAGTGATGCCCTCACCTCCTGCCCACAGAGGCACCAGCAGCAGAGGATAGGCCGCTAATGTGAAAGAAAGGAGGGGACCTGCTCTGTTTCTACAACAACAACCTTCCTGGGGCCTCCAAAGATCAGGGTCCAAACCCCTCCACCTTATTAGGTGGCACAGCAGAGTCCCCTTGCCCAGCCCCCCAACCTGGAGCAGTTGGTATATCTGCTCCCCAAGGCCCCCTGGGCCTCTCGAGGGGAGCCTGTTCACTACCTGGCCTGGAGCAAGTTAACTCCTCCCCCAGCTCAGCCCCCATTCTCCCAGGCTGACAGCTCTCCAGGCTACCTTGGCCCTTACTCCATCCCCTGCTCACCCCAGGAGCAGGAAGGGTCCCGAATCTACAGCACAGCAACCAGCTCAGTGTAGACTAGAGCTTCCCAACCCCATGTCTGACTCCTTATTACCCATGCCTCCAGTTTGTCTTGCCCTGGACCCCAGATCATCCTGGGAGCAGTTCCCCAAGATGAGGGTCCTTTAGAATGCTGCCATCACCTGTCCCTAGGAAGTTGCCTCCTCCAACAGAAAGATCCAGGCTCTTACTGCAAAGCTTTGCTTATATCCTTTGAGGAAACTCTCAACCCTTCTCCCATGTCACTGGTTCTTACCATGTCTACTCAACCCCTGATAGAGCTCCAGTTATTGAGACATAAAAAGTACCGGAATAGATGAGTCCAAACCCAAGTCATGGGTAGCGTTCATCAGCATAGTATTAGTATATATTTCCATAGTGCAGAGAATCATCCCCCTGGTGCCCACGTCCACTGGACAGTGGCCCTTTCCCAAGGCCTTTTTTCCTCTCCTCCTCCAGCAGATGGTCTCCACACTCTGGCAGGCCCTGCTGAGCTGACCTGGCTCCTCCCCTGAGCCCCAGGTGGCCCCTGCAATAATTGCAGTAATGCCCACCCTACCCCAGCTGCCCCAGGGGGTGCTCGCCTTACCTGTAGGTGCTCCCAGAGGCTGCTGGCTTGTCCAGAAACAGTAGTTCCTTCTCTGAGAAACAGAGAGGTCAGCCAGACCTCGTCACCAGGCCAGCAGACAAGTGCAGGTGGGTGGAGAATCTGGACGGGAGTGGCCTGGTGCTTCCCGGCAGAGTCCTGCCTCCCAGTCGCCCTAAAGATGGGGGTGGGGTAGGGGGAGGAAGTCCGTCCCTGTCTGTCGGCAAAGTCCAGCCAAGGCGGGGGAGTAGCTGAGGATTCCAGAAGTCAGTGGACTTACCAGTCTAGGTCTGGAAGGGAGGGGACAGAGAGGGAGACAGCCTGAGTACAGGTGCAGCCCTGGGTACAGGTGAGACTGCTCCCTACAGTGCCCTCTGCTGGTGAGTGGCCATCCCCAGCCAGAAGCTATTGAAATTGCAGAAGGTAAGAGGAGGGAACCCTAACCAGAGCTTCTCAAACTATAATGTGCACACGAACCACGTGAGGGATCTTGTTAAAATGCTAATCCTGTAGGTCTGGGATGCCCTGAGATTCTGCATCTCTAAGAAGCTCCCAGGTGATGCCCCAGGGAGCTTAGACAACATCTAGCTCCACCCCCTCCCTGCACAGAGACAACAGAGGAGGCATTGAGGGGTTAATGACTTGCAAGTTAAGGTGGCATTGGCTGTACCCATATCTGCTCCCTGCTCAGTGCTCTTTCCACTGCCCACACTCAGAGTTGGCAGGGACACTCCCACCTGGAGGAGAGCTGGACTTAGGCCACTTGCCAGCCCGAGTCCTTTCTTAGAAACTCTGCCTAGGAAAGACAGTACCACCGGAATGAAAGCTCCCTATGAAGAGCGACTTTTTTTCCAGCTGTTTGCTGCTGAATCCTCAGCTCCTGGTACAGCCTGATCCCTAGTAGGTGTTCAGTCAAGACTTGCTGAATGAATGAGTGGACCAGCTGAGAGAAAAGAGGATGCATTTTGGATCCAGACTGCCAACACCGAACACTGGTGACCCACCTGTTGGCTATGTAATCTTAGGCGAGTTACTCACGCCTCTGAGCCTTCCTGCCCTTGTCTGTCACATGCAGATAGTGATATCTACCTGTGAGGGACAATCATTATCATTATTGCGCTAATAAATGTAAAGCGCTCACCACCACATGGGTGCTTGTAAGTGGTAACTGGTGTCACCTTGTCTGGCCTGCAGTTGAGGAACCGCGGTGAACTCCCTCGGCCCCCAGTTATTATCACCCGTAGAAAATAAGTAACTGCCGCTGCTTTCATCTCAGTTAATGATTCTCTAGCCTTTTGTCCCTGACTGCAACCCCCTCCCTTCTGCTGCCTCCCCTGGGGCGGAGGCGAGAGGAAAGAATAAACACCTGCCAGGGGCACCCAGGTCCCCAAAATGGAGAGATGGTGCAAAGGAATGGTAGAGAGCAGCCAACCTGGGAAGAAGACCTCATGCCCATAGGACGAGCAAGGAAGAGGTGCTCAGAAC